AAGTACTAGACAGCAAACAACCTCCAAAAAAAAAAAAAAAAAAACCAAAACAAACAAACAAACCTGACCCAAACCCTAATACACTACAGGGAATTGCCATGCCTCTCGACTCCAAATGCAAAGCCGGCCGCCTTTCCTTTTCTTCCGGGCCCCAGATCCCCTTCCGGCAGCGGATGGACAACCTGGTGAAGCTGGAAGTCCTCAAGTCCGCGGGAGGCAACCTCTACGAAGAGCACCACCGCTTCATCACCTCCTTCGAGCGGGAATGGCGGAACGACGAGAACATCATGCTGCTCCTGGGCGCCGTCTCGCTCTTTTCCCCTCATCGAGCCAACGTCCGGCATCATGACGTCATCCAGCTCGAACAGGTTAATTTTCCTGCCTTTGAATTACTTCTTATAGATGTTCTCACCGTCCAGTCTAATTGCGCTTTTAATTGCCTCATTTCGGCTGATGTGCGAGGCGCAGTTCAAAACCAGAGGGTAACATTTCTATCGGATTGCTTTGAAATCTCCGTATATGGTTTATCAACCTTCAGTTGAATAGTTAATAATTGGCCCTTGAGATGGATCGTTATTAAGATTGTGTCTTTATCCTTTGGTTCGGTCTGAAATAAAAGCATTACTTAGAGCGTTCATAAAAGTGCGAATATTAAGAAAACCTGGAAGCAAACTTAGCAAGAATGCTACTGGAATTTTCTTCAAGAGCATTAAAAAAAAAATTTTTATAGAGCCTTCGGGCTGGTAATGCCGACACGATGAAGCGAAACTAATCGGAACTAACGGGATTCCCCACGTCTGCAGGAATCGTACCTGTACCTGCTGCGCCGGTACCTGGAGACGAAACTCGTCGGCTGCGAGGCCAGGAGCCAGTACCTCGGCCTCATCCGCCGGATGCAGGACCTCCGGATCCTCAACGAGAAGCACGTCCGCGTCTTCCTCGAGGTCAACCCCAGGGAAGTGGAGCCCCTGCTCATCGAAATCTTTGATCTCAAGCACACGTGACTTCATCGGACGCCCGCACGCGCACGCGACTTTCTCGGACGCATTCACGCACCATGACACGCGCACTCGCGGAAGATCTTCAGCTGTTTCTAGTCGGTTTCGTCCGTTCCCGATCTCCCTCCCGCGTTCCGGTGCGATTCGGTTCTAAGCATTCCGCCGGTGCTCAAGGTCTCGTCCAGTGATATGATGCCCCACGTTCACGTACGGAGATATTTTATATGCCAAAGATGTGATAATGCACTCGGAATCGTAATAGACTCATTTATGCCCGTTCGTCCTCTTTCCCGTATTCATTCCTCGGTCGGCTTCGATGTTTTGTGTATTCGTGTGCGAAGGTGGATGTGGGGAGGAGGAGTGGGATGCTTCTCTGGGATCGTGTTTTGTTAGCAATAAAATAAATTTATTTCTCACCAGACTCCACTCTCATTATTTGCGGGAATGAGGATTTAAGCAGGTTTGGCGCGTCATTTCAATGAACACAGTTTACATAATGGTTTGATAGATTTCAACTGTCTGTATCGACGTTAAAAAATGGAATGTCCATCCCGATCCCCCATTAATGTTTCGAGATCACATTTTCCATGCCTTTCAGTGTTTTCTTTAGTTTTGGAAATATAAGATTAACTTACAATAACCCCAGAGATTGTCCACATAAGATTCTGGAAGAATTAGACTTGTGATGATTTGAAGGAACTCATGTTAATCTGAAGAAATTATCTGAAAGACGAATTCAAATTTATTCGGGACAGTTGAGTTGGTAAAAAAAAAAGTACAGCATTACAACTTTCTGTATTATAAATACATTCACCCAGTAACAACATTTCGAATACGTCTCTGCGCGTCAAATAAGCAGCATTTCAAAGCACATCGACGAGTCGAGATGAGATGCAGTTCAGCGGCACTTAATAAAGGAATCACGAAGGAAGGCCTTTCGCTCGAGTTTTCGACTCGGGTTCTCACCTGGGGCCTCACGTGATGGTCGTCTTCTTCACCTGGGGCCTCACGTGATGGTCGTCTTCTTCACCTGGGGCCTCACATGGTAGTCGAAGAAGACGACCTGCTCGTAACCTGGGACCCCGCCGGCGGGCATCTCGTGTCTCTCCACTCTCTCTCCCTCCTTCTCCTTGTGAATGCGAAATCCATTTTATGGCACGATGCAAAATTATGATGAGACGGAGAGATTGCATGATGTAACAGGGAAAATCAGGACGAAATCGATTGACAAGAAAGCTCGCGTAGCAGAGATAACGAAGTAGATGGTTGTTTTGCATTCAAGCAGCGGTAGAGAACAAAATACAGGGTGTTCAAAAAGAAACGCAACCCATTGGATAATGCCTTTATCATTGTAACCTTTTGCTTTTCTTTCTGTTTCAGTGATCATTAAGTACAAGAATGGTGTTCGCAGTTCGAGAAAGAATATTCATTGTTGAAAGTTACATTAGGAATCGTAGTTATTTACTCAATTTACAAGCATTCTCCAACGGGTTGTTTTTCTTTCTGAACACCCTGTATATTTGATGATGGTATCGCTTAGAGGCGTGAACTTGTTGCCGTTCCTTCTGCAATTTATAGGTATTTCAATGAAGTCTTACTTTAAGTACTTAGGGTGCCGCAAAGAAAAGTTACTGAATTTACTTATGGAATACCATATGAGGTATATGTTGGAAATTTGCAGGACGTCTTCCCAACACGTACAGAATAATACTGCTAAAATCTAAACGAAATCGGTCTTTCAAAACCCCCCAATGTTTTTTTTCTTCCCGCACGATGTCGGACGAGCGAGTGCGTCTGCCTGCGCCTTTCTCCACGGCCGGATTCGAATGTCGACGACATTTGGGACGCGTGTCGATGGGCACGCGTGCGAACGGTGACGTGAGTCAACGGAGACGCGTGTGGAAGCTGCCAGCTGGTATACTCTCAGGTTGATATCACGTGGGAAAAACAACTTTTACTTGTATTCTTAGAGGCGAATTTCGTTAAAATTTTCAATGAACCGTGTACGCATGATGATAGTTATATCCGGCTAATTTCATGCCGATACCTATGGTGTTCCTTTGGTGTTCCGCCTACAGCCTTGCCTACTTGGCAACTTTCGGGGGAGGGGGGGAAGGAACACGTCAGATTACAATCAACTAGGTCGTCATTTGTATCGGTTCTGTATTTTAACTTACCAAGTCTCGAGTTTCTATTATAATTTCTAACATTCCAAGTGATACCGAAAACAAACGAAGTCGAACGAAGCTTTCGCACTGCCTACTCGTCGGATGATGCAACGAGAGTAACACGAGCGGTCGAGGAGGCAAGACGATTGGAAAAATAAGCGCCAAGTAAACGTCTACCGATGGAAAAGAAAGACCGAAATCGTGCGATCGCAACAGTCCATTCACGAATCCCCTCGAGCACTCGGAAACGAACCCTCGGATCGAGGGAGAGCAGGGCGCCATCGTGTCGATTCCTGAGTCTGAGCCTCGCCTCCGGCGGCCTCCAGGCGAAGGCGAAGTTCCCCGACGCGTTCACCTTCATCTCCCCCGTGTCCCAGCAGAGGTAGCTGAGGTCGCTCCAGCGCGGCACGACGGTCTTCCCCGGGCCCAGTCCCCCGTCCGCGTTCAGCCTGGTGTCAAATTCGCTCTCAAAATTCACTTTTTTTTTTAAGATCTATGTACGACATTTTTTTGCTACCTGTCTCTGAGGTCGATGAAGGCGGAGACGTGGAAGCCTCGGCGGTTTCGGCATTTCACGAACAGGATCGTCTGTAACCTCGCATGGAGCCAGATTTTTCCCTAACACTGCACCTTTCTACCTTAACTTAAATAATTTGATTAAGCTAGTGAGGTCCTTGCCTCATATTCTTTTGGCAAAGAGAAGATGTAAAAGTATGAAATCGCTTCGCCCTTCAACCTTCAATTCGCCAAACCTAAAGGTTTATGACCCGCTTCAGTATTGTCAGATAAGGACGGTACCTTTCAGTCAGCTGAGAGAGATCCATTGGGTCCCCCTTCACCCCATTCAACGAAAGAAAGTCGGTAACCCTGATTTCCAAGGAAAATCCCTCCATCCACCATGTCTCAAGTGAGGAGCACGAGAAATGAACGTTCTCCCGGATTTCGTAAAAAAAAAAACGCTACGGACATTCGTACACGAGGCTCCAACGTAGGGAAGTGACGTATGTCGCTATCGTGCCTCTGCGCAGAGATTCCTGTTTCTCGTTCGAATGCGTCAGCAGCCCATGGGTGCTCTTGGACGTACATCTCTGGACATATATCTGGAGAGCCCGATGAGATGGAAAGTTCTGACGGTGACGGGAGTGACGGCTCGTACTCCAGATCGCTATCGGCCTCGGATCGAGACCCGAAGAGAGGCTTTCCGCGTGCAAAGAAGGCTCTATCAGGCGACAGGCCTTTCAGATTCCCGAGTGTCGGCGCTGTCGGCAAAGTGTCGGCGCTGACCGTTATTAATGCCTTTCCGTCTCCGGTTATTTTTGGTCTCCGGAAATGGTTTACGAGCAGGGCGGGGCAGGCTCCAGCACGGGAGAAGTCCTAACGGGTTTGGATTGTGGTCGAGGTCACGTGCCTCACCTACCATTCGCCTCACCTATCATGCGCCTCACCTATCGTGCGCCTCACCTGCCCTGTCCCACCCCATGTCAACAACTGGATTTATCACAATTCCATTTAGTTTAAATCTTTAAAATTACTTTCGTTCAAAATTACATCTAAACTTAGATGTAGATTTAGATGTAGCTTACATCGCACGTCAAGTTTCAAACTTGATTTAAATGAAAAGCGAAAAATCAGTTGGAGAATTGGACTCACATTGATCTTCCCAGCGAGGTTGGCCTCCTCTCGCCTCGCGATCTCGCCGCTCAGCGACCCGCTCTCCCCCGCCTCCGCCTCTCTCCTCCCCACGCCCTCCGCCCTGCGAGGGTCGCACGCCGCTCGCATCACGCCCGCACCCTCGCGTCGTGCGCGCCGCGCGCGTGCGCCTCTCTCACCTGCTCCGCCTCTCTCTGGGTTCCAGCTGCGCGAGGAAGTCCCGCCGCGTCATGATGTCGCCCGTCCCTCGGTAGCCCAGCTCCACCATCTTTCGTGCGAGTTCCCGGTCCTTCAGAAACAAATTTTTTCCCTTATTTTTTTTTTAATAGCGTCTTTCTTGTGATTTTTTATTATTACAACATTGGGGAAAAATTGTCAGGATCTCTCTGGGCATTTCTCTTCACATCACTTTGATTACGATATTTCTTACCATGCGAAAAATGACCTAATTTTCTTATTTTTACTATTCTATGAACCAAGTTCGACTGACTAATCACCGATGACGGTGCTGAGGAAAGACTGATGCGTCGCCGATCTATCAGTCTTTCTCCACCACATCGTTATGTTTTGTAATGATTTTTTCCCATTTTTTTTGCGAGGAATTACCCTATCCTCATTCATGATCATCCATCTTCCTATGCGTTGCTCGCGATTTAATGATAATGGCATAATCGCTTCTCTGATTTGAATAGTGCGATAGATCCACCCCCATCGACCCATGGCGAAAGCACGCCATTGAGACATCTCAGATCGCATAATCTTAAGGCGATCGATGATCCGGATTCGCACTCCTTTGTGTGATTTTGGGAGCAACCGAAGACCCTTTTTAGAGGAAGGACTGCTAGACTGATGATTTTCTCATGAGCCCCAGTGCATTTCTCCGTCGTTAGTATGCTTCAGTACCGTCCCTCCAGTACTTTCGGTACTTGTTCGGTTGGAGGTACCTTGCCCTCGCCCGAGATGAAACAGATGATGAATCTGCATGTATCCTTCAATCCGGTTCGCACTTTCGACGCCTGCGCCTCAAACAAGAGATTATGTTCAATTGGAATTTTCCAAGTTCAAGGATGAAAAAAAGCAAAATATTTGCTAACGTTTTTCCCCATTCAGCCTTTCTTAAGCGAGTTCACCGATTGAAGAAACGAACCGAATCGTCTCGAGGACGTCCTGCTAATCCAAGTCATGCAGTCTTAATCAATTCCCTGTGATAATGAGCGTAATGAACATAATGAACATGATAAGCATGATGAGCATGACGGGCACAATGAGCACGAGAAGATGCACGTGGAACTCGGAGCCTGAGATTCCCACGATGAAAACGAAGGAGCAACAAGTCGAACCCGACGATCGATGAAACAAGCAGGCGGAAACCCGCCGACGCGACTCGCGAAAAATTCGATAAACCGGAAGAAATCTCGGAACGGCCGACCTGCAGCAGGAAGACGTCGAGCGGCGTCACCTGGGAGTCCAAGTATTCCTCGTAGGACTCGAACATCTGGACGCGATCTCGCGGGGCGATGCGGGGGA